ACTACAGCAAAAGTTCTTACATTTCATCCTAATGCTGCAACTGCTATTCCACGAGTATAGACATACTCAAGGTTAATAGGCAACACTGTCAAGCGGTTAGAGTGCAAGCATAGCTTCAGGTCAGAAAGCTTCTATTCCCAAAGAAGGGGATTCGTGCAATGCTGCAGGTAGCTCTGCCGTTCTGTCAGTCAAATGCATTTTTCAATATGTATATTTTGGTAAATAGATAAGGAAATCAGAACAGAGTGGGTTTTGTTTTGTTTTGGTTTTGTTTTTTTTTTTTTTTGTTTGTTTGTTTTTTATATTAAAAAAAGCAAGTTGTTTAGAAAAGTGTGGATACTTTGAACTATCTAGGAAGACCTACTAGAAGTCTCCCAGTTAATTTTTTGCAGTTTATAAAAGCTACCAAACTGGCACAGAAGTGATGGACAATATTAATTTTCAATTTGCTGGGAATGCATTTGATATTCACAACTGCGTCTTTTCTTCTGATCAGACAAGAATAATCATCCTTCAGCAGTTTTATTTTGTGAACTATGGAATAATTTTTATGTGGTAAAATACTCAGAAATTCTGTCGATACAAAGCCCTGAGGGACCCACTCATATATGTAAAGAGGTGACTGATACAATGTGAACAGGGGATGCATCCCAAATCCACAATGACTCTTGAAACAATCCATCAGTGATAACATAAGATGACAGTAAATGTTTGTAGGACAAATTAGATTTACTCACTAACTGTTCAGCTTCCAATTATAAGATTTTGGATAATTGTAATACCCAAGGAAAATGAGGCTTTCATGGTCATTCTCTCTCCTATTCCCTCTTCTGGTTTTGCCTATTTCTTCAGTCAGTTGCTTTTTCAAGCAGAACTTTGCATTTCTCTAATTTTAATGAAAACAGGCAGCTGGTTGGAAGGACAGATTGCTAGCAGTATTTCCACTGATGGAGGGGCTAACAAACTCAGCCCATATTAGATGTGGAAGAGAGCGCTTTGGAACCAGGATGGTCATGAAGCTTTTTCATAGTGTATAAGTTCATAGCTTCAACCTTAATTTGATAAATTGCCAAGTTGTTGTTGTACCAGATCCTCAGTATCTAAGATAAAATACATGGTAAGAATATGCCAAATGATTACATTTGGTGTGAGAACTTGTACATAAGATATTGTACGGATTCTGGTACACCACTGGAGAAAGAAAAAGTAATCTATGAAAAGAACTAATTATTCATGTCTGAAAGATATTGATAAAGCTGAATGATAAATCCTACAGCTATTTACAGAATGCCAGAAGACAGAGAGCAAACTCTCATATAAAACTTCATATAACTCAGTGTTATCCCATGGTGATAACTTTTCAGAGAACTGCTTAGGTTTGGTGCAGGGGGAGCGAAATGCTAAGATTCAGATTCCAATCAGCCTTCCAACATGTACAAACCAAAAAAAGAGGTGGTGATGGGAGGAGGTTCCTGGGTTGCCAGGCTCTCGAGAAACTACCCTTAGGAGACTAACTTTCTAGTGAATGTAGCCATGAAATCTTGTTCTAGGAGCAGCATGGAGGAGCAAGAAGGAGTGAAATCAAAGATATGAGCTGTTGGTAGTATTTTCTTCTTTCACTACCATCCAAAGACTGACTCAGTAGGCTCCTCATTATTAATGAGCTTTGAGAAGATTCCATACTCTCAAAGTTGTTTTTTTGGGGGATGAAACCTCAAAGTGACTAACCGCCTGTAAACAGGAGAATTATGTGTCCTCCTGAAGCTGACTGGCGCATGACTATTCTCTGGAAGCCAGACAGTGGCTAACAAATGTGTATTATTACAATCAATGAGATGTTGGCAACAGATTTGAATTTTCAGTTTGTTAAGGTTTGACACAGCTGTGGCAATTTTGCCATGCTAGTTTTATCTCCTGTTTATTGACTTTTCTGTATTTTAGACCTGAAATGGCTCCCCCCAAACTTGCTTTGAGAGTACAGAAATGTAGTTTAGTGCTAAATGCTATCAAGTGAAAAGAAGTTTGGTTTTGGCGGGGTTCTTTTTTACGTTTTTTAGCCTACTCTTTGGGACTCTGGACATGCTACTATTTATTGGTCTGAAGTGCTATTGTATAGGATGCAAACATACACAGGTAGCTGAATCCTGCACTCTGTCATCGGCCTCAATGTGGCATTACTAATTTTCCAGCAAAAACAGAATGATGCACTTCTGGGAAAGCTACGTTTGACTCTGGATATTTACAGGCTGGGTTTGTTACTCTCCATGTGCCTAAGCGGGAAACTGTTTCTCCCAGGGAAGTCAACTGAAAAGAGCAAGACCAGTACAGCTGCAAGACTGTCATGAGCTGTATGGATATGGTATCTGTGCTTATCATTTTCCATTAATTATGAAATTACACACTGCTTTTTATGTTATGAAAATAGCAAATGGTATTTCTAATCATTTTTTTCTAGAAGGGCATTCTAGAACGCCAGCACTTTTGGGCAAAGATCTTATTTTAGACCACCCAAATCAGATTCTAATAGTCTGCTCTGGACCATTGTAGAAGAAAATTAGCACCGCCTTTTTCTGATGAAAAAAAGAATCAGCCCGATTCTGAATGGTTATCAGAGGCTGAGGTAACTGCAGTCATAGGAGCAGGATGGCTTCTGGCTTCCCCTGGGGATTTGCACAGCCCGTAAGGTTTATTATGGCCACATTTACCCATCTGAACCTGTTTATCTTTTGCCCTGCAGCAACACAAGGGCTAAGCTGGCCCAAATCAGAAGTAGTGATCAGTCATCTTTGGTGATGTTTCTATTGACAGGCAGATTCTGACATGTTTAAGAGAAGTGATTCCTGTTGGAAGGGGAAGGGAGGAGGAGTGAGGCTCTCTGGCTCTTGTGGGAGAGGATGAAAACATGACTCCTACCACAGCTGAGAGTACTCTGATGATGAACTACAGATGCACCATTTTTATAAGCAAACAGGAAATTTTAATCACAAAAGGTTTAAAGCAAATTGTATAGCAACATCTGTTTCTCCAGTGAAGGCAAACTCAGAATGGTTTGAGCTTCTGTCGAGCAAGGGGGAAGTTGATTACAAAATAACATAGAATTAACATATTAATTAAAACAAGTCAGCTCTGTAATTGGCTACATAATCCAATATTTCATGCTAATGAAACCCACTAGGAATGCTGAGTGTTCCAGTTGGTACTTCTATGTTAAATAACTATTTGTACAGGAAAATTAAAGTCAAATTCTTTCAGTGAGCAACTGGTATAGTACGGAAGTGTCCCAACTGGAACTTGCAATGTCCATAATGCAGACTTAGAATGTTTTAAATGTCAGTTTCAAATTGAAGGAAAACATAATAGAAACAGTTCTTGTCACACAAGAACAAATGAGTCTTGCATTTTTATACAAGTGTTTCAATCAACTATTAAAAGGCCAAGAGACAAAGCAATCTGTGATATTGTAAGTTTAAGAGCAGGGTTTCTCTGCCTAGGGTGACTCTTGAATATTAATCTGAATTTTAAAAAGGATGTAACTTTAAAAGTGACATCATAAAATTTAATATTAAGCCTTTATTTGAACGTGCTAATCCACAGTTCAAATGGTACCCATTTGATGTAACGTAATTTACCTCTAAACAAAACTGAATGAAACTGAGTGAAGGCTATCCTCATCCTAATAAACATGTCCAATAGTGTCCACCCTGTTTTAAAAGAATTTCAGATTAAGTATAGTGAGTGACTCCTTCTGTAGAGAAGTTCCTTCTTCCCCAGCTCTTTGTATCTCCAAAGTTAATAATTTCAGTGTCAGGAAAATTAATCATGGTGCTAACTTTCAAAATAAAATTGTAAAATTATTTCGTTAGTGTAATGGGATACACTCATTTGGACAAATAGATATGATGCTTCAGTTAGTGTGTAGTTTAAGCTACCATTCAAACTAATGAAACACATCCAACACAGTGTGGCCCTGCTTTAATTTATTATTAGTAGTAGGATTGTATGTTATTATTGCTAATTATTGATGACAAGCCCAGCTGATATGCAAAAAAATAGTTAAAACACTCAACAGAAAATTAAAAAGAAATTTAAATGTTCCAATTTGAAAAAAGAAGGAAATATTTTCCTGTTTTTAGTATTAAGATTGTCATGTGTTTTGTGTGTTCATTCAGGCTTATCAGAATGTCTTTTACAGATGGCAAATATTTTCTGACCAGCTTAGATTGAGAAGCTTAATTCTTTGTTAGAATTAGGAACAGGTAACTTGAAATAAGCTTTAGAATGATAGCTTGCCTATGATAAAAATAAGTCTCATGTCTGGAAGGAAAGTGGTTCCATTCTCATTAGGTATTTTCAAGACACCTGATGAGGTGGGATTCTGTGATGTTACACCTCCAAAGCAGGGCACCTTTTTCTTCATCTAAAGGGTCTCTGCTGGGCCTATGGTCCATTTGCTCAGAGTCAGTAGTGCTTTCCTCTAGATGCCTTTTGGTGAGCTTGGCCTACTTAATGAGCGTCATGAAAGTTTAGTCCTAGTTGGGATACAAAGTAAAGAAGTTTTTAGAGCACTTTGGTAACTACCATGTCCTGGCCTAGTGTCAGTGCTGTGCCAGGACCCAGGCAGGCAGCTGCAAGTTCCTGGTATTGTCTTCCAAAGGCCCATTTTTGACCTACTTGTGGCACAGGACCCTCGGCAGATCGGCGGTACAGCCATCACCATGGCCATGCATGCATCAGGTTGTATGACAATAGGCACCTCTAGGGTGACTGTGAAAGGTTTCCATGCCATTGTCAGAGTTTGTGTTTTCTTCTCTGTCTTCACTTACTCAAGTTACTTAGCAAATAGCCCAGTGTGCGGTTGTGCTATCACCCTTCCACTGCAGGGTGGTCCCCCCACTTTAAACAGGCAGACAGAAGGACAGACTGTCCCCTATACTGTTCAAAATACACATTATTTTTGTATTCTGAGCTGATAAAACTAATTGCATTTGTTTTCTCTGCAGATGAAGTTTTGCCCCATCCACATGCTTTCTGTAAGAATCATACAAGCTAAGAACATCAAGTCAAGAGACCTGTGTGAGTTGTGGTTTGATTATGTCTTTAGTCACTCCCAGAGTTTATAGTGAACAATGTTGCTAAGATCTGAAGGTATACAAGCAACGTAAATAAAGCACAGCAATAGAAGTACGTATGCCAGGGCTATAATTAGATCAAATGCCTGAGGTATCATTAGATTGGACGACATAGCTAGTGGCATTTCAGAGAACTGGTAAAAACCAAGACTCGCAGATGAATTTGCTGGGCCAACAAGGGAAGGTAGACATTGTGAGGACACCACAGTCTGTAAATCTGCTTGGAGTTGTTTGGGTTTTGATGTTTGTAATTGGTATAAATCATATATTGGACTGGAATTTTGCCACACAGGCCACATGCTTAGGGACCTTTTATTGAAATTTATCAATTATACACAATAATCAAAGAAAAATTAGACTATTTCAAGCCTTCTAAAATACTGTGTCATTCGGGGTATTTGCTGTTCTCAGATGACCAGTCACATTGAATTACATTGCGAGTTTCTGGTCAAGGAGGGCCTCTGCAGATCCAGCCCTAAGCACATGCTGAACATGCAGGCAAACCAGACTTTTCTGTGTACTTTTGTACTGAGATTTCTTTAACTCATTATCTCACTCTCTCAGTCTCCTATGGCTCCTTCTCAAGGTGTTCTATGGACCAGCCATTCAGCTGCCATTTTTGCAGAGGTCTCCTGTGCGTTCCTCAGTCGGGACAGACACCTTGAGCTGCCTTTTCTCACACTCTTGAAACCTCTGGCCTGTGTATTCCTCTAGTGAAAAGTGACATGTACAGCCAAAAAGCCATCACTTTGCAGTGAGCTGTTTGAGTTGCAGCTGAGACCATTCGCATCTCACCGTGCAGGGCTGAGCACAACCTTGGCCAAGCCCGGACGCGAGGGAGACCAGAGGGGATGAATCCGCTGTTGGTTGAGGGACTGCCTGCTGAAGGGCTTCCTGTACTCCTGTGGCAGAAGCCATGTAGCAACGTCCAGAGGTGGACCCTAGAAAGGTGGTAGTGTGACAAGGCCTGTATTTCTGAGTTTCAATGATCTCTTCTATCTACTCTATTGAAGGGACAGTTCCACTTTCCTGCCAAAACCTTGCGGGGCAATGTTATTCACTGCTTGATACCAGTCTGAAGTATTTAGGCATCTCGGGCTGCAGTAGACATCTTCAGTCAAGTCCAGACTCCAGCTCTGAAAGACATCACCTTGGAGATTTCCTTTCCCACCGTTGTCAAGCTTCACAAAGTAAATGCACTTTCCCACCCTGGCTCTTCCCAAACGACGGCTGCTCGAGGCACTGACTGCACTAACCATAAGGAGTAGATGTAGGCTGGAAGTGAGATGAAGATTTCCGACTTGCTCGTGCCCTCATGTTCTTGGCCCCCCCCAGCCTTTAGCTGCAACAGATCTTCTTCCCTCGTACCTAACCCTTCTAGACAGCCACCATGTCCCCTCCGCATGTTTGTGTTGCTAGACTGAACAAGCTGATCCCCTCTGATCTTCTCTGTAATATGCGTTCTTCTTTCTTGTAATCATCCTAACAGCCCTTTTTGGGACTAGTTCTAGTTTCAGTTAAACTTTTTTAACATCGTGACTGGAATTGTAAGAAATATGCCTGATGAATGGTCAGCGAGGTCTTTTATATCTCTTTCTCTTCACATGGGAAAGATGGCTCTTAGTGTACTTTGTGTGTGCATGTGTACGTTTGGAATTTGTAGTTACCCATGAATTAGATGGTTCTCCTTGGTTGCTTCCGACTGATGGTCTCTTTACTTATTTAAAAACCAGTAGTGACATTTGTTAGTCCCCAGAATCATGGCCTCACCCTACTTTTCATCTACAATATTGGCATCAGATTTTTAATTTTTCTCTGCTGCAGTGACTGCTTCAGACTGTTATGTACGCTTGTGGCTGCCATCTGCTTCAAATGGAAAGCTTCAGACCAAAACCATCAGGAATTCTAACAACCCCGTCTGGAACGAGACTTTCTACTTTAGGATCCAGAGAGAAGTTGAGGTATTAAAAAAAATAGAAATTTCACCATTTTGAATAGCTGAGAATCATCGGTTGACACCCTGTTGATCAGCTGTGCTAAATAACTTGAAAAAATGCTTGTGTAACAGAATCTGCAACTGACTGGTTAGCACAAAACACATAGGCAGTAGTGATCCCCTCAGCTAGTTACAGATGTCAGTGATATAAATGTCTACATCTGAGCTAGTCCAGAATCACTTTGTTGTCACCTGAGAGAAATAAGCACTGCTGTAGCATGCTTCATCTGGCCTGTTTTGGATGATTAATTTAGAAAGAGCTTTCCCTCTTGGTTGTCAGGGAAGGGTAGGGGAGTTGCTGTGATATAGACAGAAAACTTAATCCTACCATAAGCTGTGTAGTTAAGAGAACTTCAGGGATGAAGAAACTGAGTAAGTGTGTTCTTTGGGCAGGTTATCAGTTTGGTGGAGAGCACTGACATCTTTTCTGTCTCAGGATAGTGGGAGCTCTCTGTTACAGGTAGTTGTTTTCTATTTCATGATAAGTTTCCCAAGGTTGGGTTTAATGATGGTGTTCCACATTAGCAAACTCTTGAAGGAAAGCACATGTTTCTTTATGTGCTAGTCGAGCAGCTGCAAAAAAAATTTTTTTTTTTGGTTTCTGTGTAATAGCAGCTCAATGAGAGTTCTTATTTATTTCCTTCTACTACCAGAACATTTTAGAATTGGCAGTGTGTGATGAAGATCCACTCACCAAAGATGACATGCAGTTCACAGTTCTTTTTAATGTTGCTAGAATCAGACCTGGGGAGACACTCCGTGAAACATTTGCTCTGAAATCAGAGGTAAGGACTGAAAATACAGGAAGAGATGGACAAGACCTCATTGTCCACATTAGCTTCCATGTTAAGTGGGGTTTGGGTCTGCATAAACAGATATCCTAATATGTCATTACTACTATCTCATCAAAACAGATATCATTGTGCTCGATTTTTGTGACATACTTAATCTCTTTTCACAGATTCAGAAAATGTAGCAGCTTCTCTCTCATGCCCACCATCTTTGTGGGGGCCAAAATATGTTAACAGGGAGCATCTGCAAAGAGTAATTTTTATCTTTTATAATCCAAATAAATAACTTCCTTACCTTTCAACTTTATTCTGCTTTTGCCATGCTTAGAGGACATTTCCTCTTAACTGGCAACTTTTTATTAAAAACATGGAGACAATTCACTCGCCAAATGAATTAAGTGATTCTTTCAGGCTTCTCCTGTTGGTGTTCGTGCTGGGTTTCCTTCTAGGTGATTCAGATTTCTCTAGCCCATAGTAAAGGGATGCCTGTTCTGCTAACATCTTTGGTATTCTGCTAAGGAGACCATGAAAGAGAGTTGTCCAGAGAACAAAGCTGGGATAGGTCTGTGACAACCCCTGGGCTTGTCTGAGCTGTGGCTGAGGTATTGCTACATGCTCACTGCAGGAAGGAGGCAGTCCATACCCAAAAGAACAGCTGCTTCCCAAATGCTGAAAGTTGTTGACATGGATTTTCCCTGTGACTCTGCAGGCTGGTGCCACTCACTTCTCAGCCAGTGGGTGAGTCACTGGGAAATACAATGATTCAATAATCACCTCAGCCCTGAGTACTCTTGCCTACTTCATCTCTGCTGGGTTCAGTGTGAATGTGATTTAAATGGTTTGTACATAGAAACGACTCTGACACTGGTTGCATTTGTTGCTGGGCTTCAATGCCTTTCCCCCATGCACACCACCTTTGCAAAAAGCCATTCTATTTCAGCCAAGCTTTCCCTCTTTGATTGTATCTTTGGAAATATGTATAATTCTACATAAACCACAATGGAACAATATTTATGTTATGTGCCTCTCACAAGCCTGTGATTTCCATTGCAATCTCAGTTTTAGAAAGAGGTAACACACAGCTTTTTTGGTAACATTAGCAGAAGAGATGTCAGCCATGGAAGTACTTTTTAGGTATATCTGTACTGCCAAATTCTTGCAGCCTCCAATAATCCATATCTATTTTACCTTTTATTTTTTAGAAAGAGAGGTGCATCAAGAAATGGGAAAGTTTGGAAGTGGAATTCTGGATGGAAAGAATGTGAGTAAAATTCCAAAGCTGAAAGGTATAGATCTGACAGGGAGTAATAATATCTCAGAGAAAGAGGAACTTCTTTCAGCTCTTCCTCCTCCCAGTGAGCCAAAATTACAATTTCAATTTTTTTTTTTTTTTACCTTAACTTCCCCAGCTAATTCTGCCTTTCAGTGTATTTAATACAAATTTTAACTTCTGTTCAACATGTATATTCTGATTGTGGAAATGTAGTAACCTTGGCATGATGTGATAACTTGTATAAGAGGTGCATGTAAAACTTAATAGAGGTGCTCTTCAAGTTGTTAATATTAATGGAACAATGCCTAGAACACTGGTGTTTCTAAGAGTCCAGAAAATTTGTCTTGTATTGTTGTCGCAATATACATAAAGTTATGTAGACAGTAGGAGAAAAGTCACCCATTAGGCGATAGCTTAGTTAAACTGAAAAAACATATAATCAACAAATAATAAAATTAAGACCATCCCCCTCAAAGTGGTAGTCAACATTGTCTGGAGGAGAACAAATCACATCAGATAAACTTTATTTCTCTTTTACATACTATCACAAGTTTGGTTGAAAAAGCAAACCTTAAACTACACATTCTGGCATATTTGAGCTTAACATTACCAAAAAAAAAAAAAATATAGTCCAGTTAAAACTAACTGCATGATTAGAAGAAGGATCTGTAAATGAGTCTTCTTATTCTTAAACATGGAAAAGCTGCAGAAGAAAATCACTGGTGTTCTTGATTAATGGTGAAACTCAAGAAAATCTATATAATTTATCTATGACATATACCATAAGAGGTGGTACAAGCATCTCCTGCAAATGTGGAAGCAGTCACAGCCAGATATATAAAAAGGACAGAAACTGGAAACTGGACTGAGTAGATTCAGGCTAGAAATAAGAGGAACATCTTCCACCATTTGTGTTATAAGGCATGTGGGGGATTCTCCATCCTTGGAAGTCAAACCTAGCTATTTACATTAAAATACATTCTACAGCTGAAACAGAAGTTTTAAGTCTGGAAGTGGTGCTTATTAAAATACCCTGGACTTTGCAGAAAGTCAAAGATTACATACTACATAACTTTAATGGTCCTTTCAGATATATGAAAGCACTTATGAATGTGTGTAACATAGTGATGCTGGAGTATTGGCCTTCATGAGAGATGCCTTTTGTAGGCTATAGGTTACTCATAGTATTAAATAACTATATCCATTCAGTGGCAAACCTAGGACTTACAGGGTAAAATGTCTGGGACAAAGACTTTCTATTACTTACCTCCATGTTTTCCAGTCACACGCAGTGGGAGGTAATTCTCATTTGCTGTTTATTTGTGATCACTTGAAAATTATAATCTGGAACAGTCAGAAATATTTTACCTAATAAGTATTTGTAGAATACATTAATAGTAGTCTTTGCTTTCCATAAGTCATATGGTCATTTGTTAATAGCAGGACATGATTCCACATAGACCAATAGGTCTTTGTTCTGCTGTATTTTACCATATAGTTTTAAGCATTGGTATTTTTATGACCTCTCCTGCCTTTCTTCTTGTTTGACTACTACATTTTGGTCCATGTGCTTAGCAGGTGATCACGTATTATGGCTTTTCAAAAACAGGTTGTGATACTAACATAACTATATTCAGTTTTAAGCAGGAGAGATCATAAACCTACTATTTTCTAAAAATATCAGAAACACAGCTTTTGTTTATTTGTTTTTTGATTCTGTCTTTTCAGTCCTGGCCCTCCGGAGCACCTCATTACCAATGATGTCCTTGTGGTAAGGTTCACATATGAATTGAGCTTGGAGTGGCTTTTCTGTCATTTGGATTCTCTCCTCTTCCTGACAGCCATCTGACATTTTATAGAGAGAACAGAATCTACCATGATAGATAAGAGTATGGTGTGCATTATAAAGTGAAAGATCTGGGATGATTCCCATTTGTTATGGCTGAACTGTTGCCCTCTCCATGCAAAAATAGAAGCTGTGTTTCTTGAAGTCCTCAAGTATTACAGATGTTAATATTTTGCCCAGCTGTGGTTCGTTAATGTTGCAGAACCCTGTATTTATTGGTGTTCGTAATGAAAACTTCCTGTGTTTCATGTAGTACAGTATGACAATTGGCAGGAAAAACAAAGGTTATAAAAGGGATGAGTCTGTAGAAGGCAATAGTAAGTATTCAGTATGCTTATGAATGGAAGGTTATCAAATGTAACAGCTTTTTGGGAAATTAGGTTTTTAATAAAGAGTTATTTTAGTCATTGGAACACAAAGTCCTCTTTGGTATTAGTCAGCATGTGGTACATTACCAATCACCTTGGGCTGGCCCAGCAGCTAAGGAGTACAAAGTACTTCATACCAACCACTCCAAGCCTGCACATGATTTCCAGATGCTAGCCTTCAATACTCCTGAGGCAAAGTAACACATATTCTGTTCTTTGCCCCTCATTTTCTGTGTGAGGCATAAGAGCTGTAATGATTGGCATGTGTTGTTCCTGAAATGGCTTGGAAAACTGTTCTGGCATGAGTTATTAAAGGTGAACTGGAATGACTCAGGTGGAGAGTAGGGTGGAATAAATCCATGATCTCCCTACTTCAGGACCAGCAAGAAGATGCCTTGTAGACTAATCACTGCCACAATACACAGAAATAAATCATCAGGTGTTTTCCCCCATGCTTCCTAAATAATGATCAGATATATGTGTAGTTGTTTGGGCAACAGTGTGTTGTACAGAGTTTCCTGATTTGGGGATAACTTGTGTGGGTATAACAACCTCTGGCAATGCACCACTGCATGGACAAGCTGGTTCTGAAGCGGTGCAGCTGGGCTGCTGTCCTGGGATAATGAGCTCTGAATTGACTCTTGTGCAGCTGTACTGCTTCCAGCACTGAGACCAGTTTAGTTGGCTCTATATTATAGGTAATGGTTGTCTGCATGGTGTTTCATTATTTGCTGCAGATGTGGCATTTGTTATCTTCACACTTTTCCACTCCTATCTTTTATAGTCCCGTGAGGTTTGCTGCTTGGAAGTGCAAGTGGACATTAATGAAAGCAGGAAATATTTGAAAGGTATGCCAATTTCTCTGTGAAGCAAGGACATGATCAAATCACAGACCCAGATGGAGGCACTTTAGGATACAGAGATGACTAAAAATGTTCTAAAATCAAGAAAATATAATGCAGTGAAAGTCCCTGAACTCCCTCCAGCTATAATGCTTCTCTCTGTGTCTTTTGCTATCAAGTTGGGACACAGTAAACTTTGCTGGTGGAAGTATGAGAGAGTGCTGACCCTGGGAGCACTCCAGTCTGTGGGGTAAAGGCAGGAGTACCAGTTCCTGTGATGTAGGAGACTTGCCAGTGTGGCAGCTTATGGAGGAGTTACCGCAGAGAATGACTCCAGCAGAAAGTCTGCCAACTTTGTTAGCTATTTTGCCTGAACAGCGGTATTATTCTCTAAACAAATCTGTTTTCACTAGAGGGTAAAAATCTCGTGCTTACGGTGCCTGCATCTCATGAGGGAACACAGAAAACTACAGAGGACACAGATACTTTCTGCTTCCATTGTGTGAAGTCTTGGGAGCCAGTTCTAAAAGTCAGGCTGCAGGTAATGAGGACTATACAATACCACTGTTCGTACTGCTTGCTTATATCCAGTGTCACCAAAACAATAAAGAACTGGATTGTTTCTGTTCTGTGAATAAAACCCATGTTTTTTTCTTCCCTGTAGAAAGTTTCTGATAAGGAAGATGACAATAGCAGTTTAAGTGACACCTTAACAGTACCACTGAAATTTCTCCCTGTTGGACATAAAGTGAAAGTAACCCTCCCTGTAAGACATGTAAGTGCTCCACCATTTATATGATCTTTTGGAGAGAAGAGTAGAGTAACCCTCAGTATTAAACACCATAAGGGTTTTGTTTTTTTAAAAAAAATCAATTAGTAAGTGTGAGTGAGAATTTTTTGCTAATACAAGTTTTCTGTGAAAACGGTTAGTTTTCTCAGAGAAATAGCAATTTTCTGTCAATAAAATCAATAATTCGGAATTCATCCTGGCCAGTTTTAGATGCATTTCAGGCCAACCTCTGCCGTCCTTACACAGTTAAAGGAGAATATTCAATACCCCTAGCAAGGCTTTGGGATACCCCACTGCTCTTTGTCAAGCCTGGGTGGCTAGCTCAGTCTATATACCTAAATTTTAGATGGCTAAGGTTAGATGAGTTGAATCTTACCCTCAGAGAACAATTCTGTTATATTCTTCTATGCGTACAGTCATGATGGGAACTGGTGGAGAGATACAACTCAGATGTTTCAAAAGCAGTACTAATGCTACTGTGTGGCTAGAGGAATCTGTTAACAATAGCCAAACATCCTTTCCCACACCTTGCAGCAAATGAGAGACAAAAATAGGAGGAGAAGAATTTCTCAGCAGCATTTTCCTTAAAGGGAATGGAGAATTAATGTGTGTTTCACCACTACTGGTTGCTCACCCCTCTGCTTGGACTCTCTTTTACCTCCAGTATCTTTTTTGGAAGGATGTGATGACTTGTATTTCCTCTTTATCACTGTCTTTATCTGGCGGCTATTCTTCATCCTCAAGAACAGGAGGGTGGCAATGTGATGCTGCTGCTGGGTTAGAATGGTTCATGGAGGTATATTCACAGTGTGGAAAAAATCCTGTTTCACAGCCACTTAAACTCCTCCTGCCTCTTTTGCTTCTCTGTAGAATATGTTTGGTGTCTAGTTGCTTTCCTTCTCCTTCCTGCTACAGTTTTCAAAAAAACTGTATGGAGGCTGGTAGTGGTGGGGCATTCCAGGAGGCACTGAAAACCTGGATTTCAAAACTTTTCTTTTTCCCAGTCATTCATGTTCCTGCTCTCATTTCTCTGTTTACAGAATGTGCCGCTGCAGTTGTACCTCCAACTAAATGATTGGTAAGAGGACTGTTTTTTTCTCTAAAGGTTTTATTGGTCTTTGAACTGTGAATTCTAGAACAGGGTATCCTTTATTTAGATAAAAGGAATGCACAAGACTAGGGGCAAAATATAACAATAGTTAAGTCACCATTAAAGAGTCACCACAACAGATCAAAGTTAAATGGCCTTGGGGCCAAAGAGTCATGCCAAGATGTGAAAAAAAAAAAAAATTATGAGAATTTCAAGCAGTGAGGGACTTAGTCACTGAGTGTCCTGTGCATCAAAGAACCAAAGACTGAGATTGGAGGCTTCTTCAAAAGGGACACAGAAACGGGAAGGAGTCACAGGGAAAGGGGAATCTGAAATAAGCAAAACATCCAGAGTCCATACATTATTCAAACCACACTACCTGTGTGGTTTTCTTAAGAAAATAGGTTTGTGGCTCTGGTTGATATCAATAGAAACAAGCACAAGCTAGGGAAGATGAAATGTTACACCGTAAGATAAAGAGACAGACAACAAATAAACCAAACTTATCTGAATATCTTTTTCACTGTACTGTTTCTGTATAAATCTATGGTATAAATCCCCGTGAAAGACCTTGTTAGGTTCAAGTCACCATTTGCTCAGAAATTACGTGAAGCAGAAATAGAAAGGATTTAGCTTACAAAGCTAGTGAAAGACACCAAGAAACCTTTTTTTTTTTTTCATATTTGCTTTCCTTAGTTGGCAGTAAAACTTACACCGAAGCATCAGAAAATAAAGAGACCATGTAGAAACAAAGCAGTTGATTTATTTGAAACTGGAAGCTGCGTTTCTGTCTCTAAATCTGAACAATGAATCATGATTTTTTATGATATTTAGTAGACTGCAGTTGGTGAAAATAGATCCATACACATTTTAAACACCAACCCTGTGCCTCTGGATTTATTTATGTTTCAGCACAGAAAAACTAGATGTGCGCTTAGGGTATGATCTGTGCCAAGAAGAGCAAGAATTCTTGCAAAAAAGGAAGAGAGTGGTTGCCAGTGCCCTGAAAAGGATTCTTCATCTGGAAAGAGATCTACATGGACACGAGGTCTGTGAGTTGCAATCCAAGCATGGGGTGTGGGTCTATTGAATTAGGGTTGGCACAACTCCCCACAAAATTTCTGGTAGTTTTTGCATGTTGATGACAAACACACTGATTTGAATGTCAGTAGAACAGAAGTTCTCAGTGTGGCATACCCCATACTCATCTAAAATTTCAGCTCAGCTATTCATGCCTCCAGTCTTTTCAGTGGGTCAAATTCCCAAGGACATAATACACCACTCTTCAAAGCCAGAGTTTCCAAGTGTGATGCAGTGGGTCAGCAAGACATGAGGCATTGGCACATTGTGTTAGACACAGCCTAGCCAGGCAACCCAAACCAAGTAGGAAAGGAAGAGTATTTGAAATTCACCTCACATTGATATTTATGAAATCATTGTAATGTCCCTTCTTTAGGCTTGCTTTTTTATTTTTTCACTTTCAGAACACTTTTCACAAAAAGTCAAAATTCCCTAGGGTGAACATTTTATAACAAGCTCCAGCTGAAGTATGTTTTGTTGCCAAGATCCAGGGTAAACTTTTAAGTGAACATTTATTTTCTTGCTGGAATTACATCTGATGAATGCATGCTGTCCAAAGAATCATTTTGTTTGCTTAATGTATTTTTTCTGATCTCTGCTCAGGACTTCCTTAAATCCATTCTTAATTACATTCACTGCAATTTCTGTTATTTATAATAAAATCATATCATTATCTGTTATTAATCATTGTCATTCCAATTACAAAGAACAAGCGAAGGAAGGAAAGTTAAAATCACTGCATATTCAAACTCATCCAAGCTTTGGGGTTAAGGGAACCCGCTGAGTATCTGGAGGTTATTTTAAAGAAGATACTGGTAAAGACTGGGTGAATGTTGATTTTAATTTCATTGTCCTCCAGTGAAGTCTGCTGAGGAAATTATAAGAGCTGTAGTTACACTTTTCCAAGTAGGCAAGTGAGTAATCTTTTAAAGATAATACTTGTGTTTTGAACAGGTCCCAGTAATAGCTGTTATGGCAACAGGTGGAGGCCTCAGAGCAATGTCAGCTATGTTTGGCCACCTCTTAGCTCTTCAGCAGCTGAATCTGTTGGACTGTGTTACCTATATCACCGGGGCTTCTGGCTCGACATGGTGCGTAAAGAAAATGAGATTTGTATTTGGGATGAATGTGACACTACGTTTTCCACACGGTGAAAAGGATGCATCTCTTTCAAAGTCTTACATTGTTAATAAGTGAATGTAATTCCCTGGTAAAGCTATTACTGTTGGCTCTCAATCATAACTTCAGTTTAGGCTTGCTGATTCTCTTCTTTGATAAAAATGGTTGGGAAAATATAGTAATTTTCCAAAACCATTCAAATAAATGGATATTGTTTTCACATTTCTGTTCTTTAGGACCCTAGCAGACCTGTATGAGCATGCTGACTGGTCACAGAAGACTCTGGAGGGGCCACTTAAGGATGTAAAAGAACAAGTGACAAAATGCAAGCTCAACCTTATGTCTATAGAGCATCTGAAGTATTATCACAAGGAACTTGCTGAAAGGGCAAAAGCAGGACACGTGTCATCTTTTACAACTCTGTGGTCACTTGTTCAGGAAATGTTCTTACATGAACGGGTATGTACGTGGTCCTACCACACAACTGGGAAACATCCACTCATTTTCTTTAGAGCTTTACTCTTTGAGGTCATGATGTAATGTGTGGAACAAATCCAAAGTGGCTGAGGCATCCCAATATGATTTGTAAACAAGAAGAGAGGGTCTTGTCACCAGGATTTTCCAGGGTAGCTAATGGTTTGAAGGTGCCTCTGTACTAGAGTGCCCAACAGCTTCAGTAGGCAAACTTTGAGAAAGAACAGAGTAATCTCCCCCCTTAAAAATCAGGTCTTTTAAAGTCTGTTTCTAGTTGGACACTTAAAGGCTAGATTAATCTGTCCTCGTGTGAACATTAGTCTCAGCCTTAGTAAAGATCTGTGGGATGTAGGCAATCAAGGTACTTAGATATTAATGAAGAGGTTGCTAGTTATCCAAAAGGCAACCAAGAGGGAAAGTTCAGGAACATGAAGGAAGAGGTCTCATAAAAACATGACTCACAGATTCCTCTGGGTTGTAAAACATCTGTTATCTAGCCACACTCCGGTAGATTGTGTCAGTGTTTTTACCTTATGCTCCTCCAGAGGTTTACTGTGATTTTTTAATCTCTTTGATTAGCCAAGAAAGTACAAACTCACAGACCAGCGCAAGGCATTGGAGCATGGGCAAAACCCGTTGCCTTTCTATTCAGTCCTCAATGTGAAAGAGGAAAAGTTCAGTACTTTCAAATTTAGAGGTAAGTATTCCTAGTTTCTTCTGACTCTGAATAGGGACAAAAGAGAATTTGGAGGGAGGGTGTGTGTGTGGAGAATAAAAGGGGAACACATCTGTTGCTTGCCCTGACTCAGTATTCATCTTTTAATAAAATGTTTGTATTTTTTTTGTGAACTTCTGGGTGTTGGTTAGAAAGAGCAGATCTGCTGGATAATATCATCAGGCACAAACAGGGCATTTCTGAACATCTGGGCTGAAGTTCTAGTTTTGCTACAGACATTGTGAGTGAGTGTGGGCAAATGATGTGATCTTTTTCTGCCTCAGTTCCAGACCTATAAAATGGCTTCGATGGTTCCTTAGTTTGTAGAGGTACTGTGAAATGTAATTCTCACTTCCCTAAATACTACACTGATGAGGGTATGAAAATGGAGTGGAGTATGATTGCTATGATAAGTGTGATATGACACCTTTTAAATGGACACAGGCTACATTCAACAGAGTATTAAAATGAGGAGATAGTGGAAAGAAAAAACAGTACTTACATTTGGTTAGGTTTATAGCTACTGTTTTGCTGCAGTACCTGTATGGGACAGCTTGAGTCAGGAAATTGCACGGCCATGCCCACACTTTCTAGTTTGGAGCTAATGATGTGTTTTCAGGCTGCCTTGTTATATCATGTAGACTGACAGGTTTGGGTTAGTAGGGGTTTCGTGCCAGTCATTCCTTGCAGGTTGGATCACACTTCCACGTTGTACGTTTGATGATCTTGATTTAGACAGGCAAGTGGGATCCCAGAATCTTTGTATAGAAATAAGTATCTAAGCTTTTGAAGCTAATGTTAGACTCCTTCTGAGGTGAAAAAGCTAGTTCCTTTTGAATGCAAATCATCTCTCAGTTTGTATGGAACTAGACAGTGTAGTTTGCAACACAAAGCTACTGATAGCACAGAGCTGCTTAGACAGGCAAGATCCATGGAGCCTGTGGATAACTTTATCCACAGGGAAAGGTTTTGTTTTCTTATTTTTATTACAGTAAACATGCAATGTGTCATTTTTTTTGTAGAGTGGGCAGAGTTCTCTCCTTACGAGGTGGCCATACCAAAATACGGAGCCTCCATCTGTTCAGAATATTTTGACAGTGAGTTCTTCATGGGAAGGAGAGTGAAGAAGCTGCCAGAATCTCGAATCTGCTATCTGGAAGGTGACTTAGCAGTGCAATATAGTTAATCACAACATGGTACAAAGCATGGCACTAGCTAGCCACTGGTCTGTGTACAAGTCTCCTTGCCAGCAGGTCTGCTCTAGGTTTTGATTCAATGGGCTTCTTACCCCTTTTGTACACTTCTGCTCTTTGTAAAGCTTCTTTCCTCCTGTCCTCCCTTTTAACCTGGGCAGCTCTGGGAAAGTTGCTGCATGGTTCCCTTTCCCTGTTTCTGAACCAAACAAGAAGGTGGAGAAGGCAAGTTGATGAAATAATAAGCCTTTCTTCCCTGATCAGTTATCAACTCTTCAATTTCATCAACTGTATTTCTAGACAATGCATTGCTGGGGTAGAATTGGAAGGCACTGAAACTAAAATATAACTCATCTAGAACAACCCACAAAGGTGAGAACCATCTGAGCTTTGTAGGTTGAGAATGGTGTCACTAATCTTCCCTGCTCATAAGGATGAAGGAAGCCCTTTTAACTTCCAACAACTCCTTTGACTGGCTGTTCTGCCTATAAAGGTGAAGAAAAGGGGAAAGCAGCTAGTCACAGGAATCCATCTGCCCCAGGAAGATTTTAAACCCTTGTCAGAAGTTTAGCTTTTGATACCAAAACCAAGGGTCCAATGCAGATAAAAACTGCCTTTGTCTCACTGTGAAGCCTGCTAGAGATTGAATTTGTTCCTCATGTGAGTACCTGGCACGGGGCTTCATGACAAAGGATAGGTAGTTCTTTTCCAAAAGGAGACTCACATATGGAGCCAATTCTATTTTGATCCTGGACCAGTTGAACTCCACAGAAACAAAGCATGCCTGAATTGAAAGAGTAAATCTGTTTAAAGAAGGACCTTATGCTTATAAGGCTTTACCATGCTTTCAAAGACTGCTTTCTTTCACTAGTATACAGTAAACACTGTAAAACATTGTTTGGGTGACTGATACCTCTTATTTGGTTACTCTTTACTGTACAGTGAATGGTCTGTGTGTAGTTATCTCTTGAGAAATACCACTGAAGTGCTGACACCATTACGTTTGAACTCTGTGAGACCTACTGCTTAAGATGTATCATGACAGGGTCAGTTCATGTGGGCCAAAACTATATAACATGGATACTTGTAATAGTCAGTGGCTAACATGTGGTGGTGCAGTATTTCTCCCATGTGGTTTGACTTGCAGGTCTTTGGACAAACATCTTTACTAGGAATTTGCTGGATGGCTTGTACTGGTCCTCAAATTCAAATGAATTCTGGGAACGCTGGGCCCAAGATATGGTAGATATAGGTAAGACTTTCAAAATCAGAATTTGTTTTTGACCAGACAGTGCTTCCTATTCTGGAGAGGATAAAGAAAGAGACACTATTGGTAGTGTTTGTGAATAATCTCTCATGTTCTCCCTAAACTGCTGCAGGTTGTGTTGTCTCACAGTGGATCTTCCAGCATGATTTTCACCTGTGTCAGAATGATCACTATGTGATGTTCTAATCTTATTCTATTTTATTTTACTTTTATCTTATTTTTGACCCAGAGGCAAGCTTCATGATAGTTACAAATGTTTTTCGTTTAAAATTTGCTCATGATCTGTTAAACAGCTCCTCCCATGACTGTAAATGAGAAGGGTGGCTTTTACTTGTAGGCAAAAGTACAAAGCCAATGTGTCATTTGAAATAGTAAAAGACAAAAGCTGTGCTTGCTTTAAACAAAACTAAATATCTCTTTGTTTAAATGGGATTGGTCGTGTACATATGTTTTCAAGCAGACTGCAAGAAACAGGGAGAGGAGGGACCCACAGGAGGACAACAAGGGTAGCTAGCCAGTAAAGGTGACTGGCAGAACAGATTGCTGATGTTTTTTCTCACAGTTTCTTCTCTATTTCAGAAAAACATTCACCTGAGGATGATATCACTATCATCGAGCCTCCATCTTGTTTGTCAGGGAAGTTGTATGAAATGTTTCAGGACATTATGACCAAGCGTCCACTACTGGGAAAGTCTCATAACTTCCTGAGAGGCTTAGAATTTCATAAGGATTATATCCATCAGAAAAAATTTATTGAGTGGAAAGGTAACTGCAACAAAGAGTTAGCTGCAGTGTGCAGGTAACATCTCAGATTTATTTTTTTTTTAGACTTTGGAAATCTCACATTTAGAGATATTTTCTCAGGGTTTGGAAATCTGCTGAGATGGAACTACGTTCATGGTGCCTGTTCCTTTAGGGTAACAGGTTAAAATGAACAAGTCCACGGGACACTCTTTTTCATCCTGAAGATATCTGTAATTTGTGTCAAAGCATGCTCTTTTACAGGAAGTTTGTCACTCTGCGTAGGTACAATAGTCAAAAGATTCAGAAAGGGTAGAATCTTTTGAGGGCGAGAAACAAAGGTCACACTGGAAGCATAAAATAGCAGGTTATTATGTGGATCAGATGAAGGAAAGGACTGGCTGCAAGCATGTGGTTGCCTATGTGTGTGGTATTTCTGCCTGATGCTTTATCCACCCGGAGACCTCTCTTTAACCATTCAGAAACAGAAATACCAAGATCCAACAACAGAAAGTTAAAGCCACATAGGTTTAGACTGTATGTTAAACAAACAGAATGTGTAGACTTGATATAGAAGTTGAACAGCAGTTTTCTATGGCCTGTGCTCTGCAGGCAGGCAGTCAAAACAGTTTTACCTCCAAATCTATGAAACAATCTGTGAAATGATAGCAAGGTGACGGAGCTGAGGTTTTGTGCACCACAAACCTTCCTGTAATCCCAGTGTCCTCATTTATTTCATGAGCAGGTAGCAGTGTGGGAGGACCCCACATTATTAAGATTAATCTGACTTCAGCAAGAGGACATGTGTTCTCTGCCTTCTCTGAGTCCTTCTCTTTGGCAACTTGTGTTTTCTCTCCCCTGTTTCATGCAAGTTACAACATTTTTTTGTCCCTGGCTGGCTGCCATTGCTACGTGGTTTGCTGACAATGGCAAGAGATGATGGAGCTTTTTTGTGGGTTAAGGCAGAGCCCACAGTGTGCTAAATGCTTTCAAAATTTTCAGTAAGCAAAAAGTCTGTGTCCTAAAAGAATCTGCTCTAAGAAAACAAGTGAGAGGAGAAAACAGGTAGCATAAGAAGGGTGGGTGAGAGAACGAGCGAGTGAGTAGCTTAAAAAAGTGGATGAAGGATAAAATTGTCAGTCAGTAAATGCTTAAAAAATCATTTTCCTTACATTTGCTGACTAGCAATTTTGTAAAGGCAAATGGGTAGAAGCAGATTTCAAGGAGGATTTAGAGGAAGAGAGCATAGGGACACTAAAGACTACCTCAGGGCAGATATTCTACAAATAGAGTAAAATAAGTGGAAAGCATGAAGTCTGGAGTGGGAAAGACTAGCAGATTTTGTATCCTCTTTTGGCTGCCTGCATGAGACCAAGCTAAAACCAGGTATGGATCCATCTCTAGGAGCAAGAGGAGATGCCAGCTCAGTGAGCAGAAATTATAGTCTCATGGTAGGTGAAGTCTCCAGAATATAGCTGTGTTTTAAAGGCTTCCCTGTAGATCAGGTTATCTGACATATTAAAACTTCAAATGACATGTGAAAAGCCCGATTTTCAATGTGAGAAATTTGAGAACTTGTAGCCTGGAATTAGTGTAATGCATTTACAGTAGAGCTCATGTTTTCAAGGGAATTCCTGAGGCAGGACTTCTTTAAAGACCCTTTTTGAACGTGGATGGAAGAAGAGACTCTCCCAAGGAGATGCCTACTTCTAATTCCTATATCCAGCCATGAATAAATGCTGCACAGTTCCATCTCTGTGATAAGAAAATGGGGGTAACGGAATTTCAACCAGAAGTATTCACCAGGTCAAATAAAACTAAAAAGTATGCTCTGTTTCTTCAGTGAGGGACTGCAAGCAAATGTCTCTCATGACAGCAGAATCCATGAATTCCCAGCAGCCATGAATACTAAAATAAGCAAATAATTTTGTAAAGACCTGACAGTGAGGGAATGGAAAAAAAATATAAGTTATTACTTCAAGCTGCTGTCAAACATTCCAGGATATGGAACAAGCCAGAGTTATTCTGCACGCTTTAAATCAACACTACAGAATGAGGCCAAGGAGGCAGAGAGATCAAAAGAAGTTAAATGCTGGAACTTACCTGCAGTATTTCTGTGATCAGCAGTTTATTAAAATACCTAAGCACAAATGATTTAAGACTCAAGGGGTCTGCTCTGGGTTTTGCTACCTCATTTTGTGAATTTGAGGAATACTCTTAAAGCACTATTTTGATATTTAAAACCATGGCAAAATTTGTTCCATGGGACTAGAAATGGTACCAGGGGAACAATAGCAGACTTGCTGTCTACGGGGCAGGCTGGTGGGATTGCTAGCAGAGAAATAAGAGTCCAGCTATCAGAAACTGTCTTTAGATCTTGACTTGCTAGTTGATACAATCCCCTTTTGGCGTTAATGTGACGTTTAATTAATTCAAGCAATATTTTAAGCCGTAGGTAGGGAATGATGTGTGTGTGATGTGGTATTTTTTTGCAGCAAGGCTAAAATAATTTATATGGAAATCACTGAAAACAGGCCCAAGTCAGATTTTTCACCCTGGGAGAGGAGTTTAATCCTGAGAATGAAAAAAGCAAACAAAGAGCAATGCAAAAGTGCAGTGATGTACTGCATTTGTTAGATTTGTTGCTACACTCTGAAATCGTTTTTGTTGTTTGCGTTTTTCCTAGTTCTTAGGGGAAAAAAAAAAAAAAAAAATTGGCTAAAGTCTGTATTCTGTGAAAAATCCCTCCCCAGGGCAGTCTGTGTCTCACCTGTCCTCTGCCTGGCTGCCCCAGGGCCGGCCCTTGTGAGTGTGCCTGGGGGAGTGGGGTAACGGGCCAGGCGTGCTCAGGCGCTCGCGTGATGGAGGGAGGTGAGCCTGGCCCTGGGGGCAACCAAGGGGCTGCCCTGAGCACGTAGCACAGACAGAATTACTGACTTCTCCTTTCCTCCCAATGCACCACTAACTATAGTAAAAATGTTTTTCAGACACTGTGCTGGACTCTTTCCCTAACAATCTGACACCGCTGCAGAAATATCTTTGCCTGATAGATGTTGGCTATTTCATCAACACCAGTGGTGCAGCACTTTTCAAGCCAGAGAGGAATGTAGATGTCATTATCTCACTTGATTATGGTTTGGGGAATGTGTTCAAGGTGAGAAGATTAACCATGCTCTGCTCCTTGCAGCCCTGGTAAAACTGGTGGTGTGTTATTAAAACTTTTAAACAAGCGGCTGTCTAAGTCTTGATCATATAGTCAGGATGGAGGAGGAAAGAAACTTCCTTCAAGACCAGAACTATAGAAACTGTTAGGCCCTTTTCTCTGTAGTGGATTGCAGCATATACTTCTTAGGATCTTCAGGGAATTGCAGTGACAATTGGTTGCTGGAAACAGGACCTTGATCTTTCCTGGTCTGTCCTCGTGACAAATTGTGTGGCTTTTGGTCATTCCCTCTAGCTGTAAAAAACATTATAGGGTGATAAGAAGTATATTCTGAATTGTGGTGAGTGGTGGCAGAAAGTAGGTTTGTACTGTGGCTACTTTGGACTATACATTTATTGCAGAGTGATTCTAGGGACTGAATTAAGTTGCCATAGTATTTCTCAGTAAACCTGATTCTTGTCTCGGTGTTAGCTTCAAAGCAATGATATTCTGTGTCCACAGCAATTAGAGATGACATACAAATATTGCAAGATACAAAAAATCCCATTCCCCAAAGTGGAGCTAAGTAAAGAAGAAGAGAAGAACCCAAAGGAATGTTACGTGTTTTCGGATGCGGAGGACCCCAGAGCACCCATAGTAATCCATTTCCCCCTGGTGAACGACACCTTTAAGGAATTCAAGGAGCCTGGTAAGTTCAGTCAACAAAAATATCCTTTCTAGCTGAGTTCAGGCCATTTATCTTTCCACAGCACAGATCTTCTTTGTCCTTTGTAGCAACAGTTTTAAGCGAGGGCAGAGCCTTTGTGTGAGTGAGACCATCCTGACTCCTACCCATCATGGTCATACACATATGTTTGCCTTTGGGCTATGAACGAGGACGCCCACTCATCTGTCAGGCCAGGTTTAGGTTACTGCATTCAGCTCAAAGTACATGAGTTTCCACCATGGCAGAGGAGAATGAGGTATCAACTCTTTTCCTGTTAACTGAGTCACGTTAACCTTCTCACCAAAGCTGGGTTTATGTTCCCCATGTACAGAGTGTAACCGTATCTCTCATCCAGTATACCACGATGGAACGGAGGCAGCTGAGGCAGATCCGTGTCACTGCTGATTAGCCTCCGCCTCCTGCTCAAGTGGCAGGTTAGCAAACCACAGCAGACTCAGAGTAAGACGCAGGACAGAACCAGGCTTTAAGCCACAGCTCACACCACAAGGCATTTTGGAGAAGGCAGCACTTGCAATAGTAAGATGTTGTGGAAACGGTAGGGCCAGAATTCCTCCTCGGACTAGAAGAGACTAAGAACATCTGCCAACTGCTGCTTCTCTCACCTTCCCCCTATGAATTTAAGGGCTGGCAGTAAGCAAACAGGCTGGGCACTGGTTGCTTCTCCCACGCTCTCATGCCTTTGTGCCAACCACCATCTAGATGGAGAGACTTAGCAAGCCTCTCCAGCAATAATAAGAATGATGTTTGTGGCCCAAGAGTCAGAGCAGAAAGATCAGGGACATGGCTGCTGACAGCTGGGACAAGTAATTCTGTTGTGAACACGTTCAGAAAAATAAGTAGCAGGAGGTGGAGGGGATGCAACGTTTAGCTGGTGTAAGGGTAAGAAGCATAAAAGTTACTGATCATCCTACCTCGGCCTAGCCATCCCATGGTGTTGGTACAAGCATTGTGGGAGGAGGAGGTTACTTCCTCTACGAAAAGACAGTGAATAAAGAGCTGCCAGAGCAGCTCTGTTAGTCTGCGGTGTACACAAGGGGAAGCCCGTATCAGCTCACAGAGAAGGGCCTTGCCCTGTGCTTGCCGAAGAGCTTTGCACATGGGTTTGGCAGCCCTGTACCCGTGAGTAACGGCCAGCAAGACCCAAAGTCTCCTGGGTACCACAGCTCATATCCTGCCTCCGTTTCTCCAGGGAATGCAACGGCAGACGGGGCTTTGCTGTGGGACATACACAGCCGGGTTGGTTCTGCGTGGGGGCCCAGCGGGCCCTGGGTGATGGGGTCTGCCCTCAGGTGTTGCCTTTGAATGCAGGCACGAAGCAGCAAAGGCCACGTTAGAACAACAGAGCCTCAGTACAGACCAGGTTTTTCCAACAGCTTGTGGGATACTCTGAAAAAATCAGTCAGGTGGTATCTTGTTGGTGCCTCTGCTGTCTGACTTCCTTAACCTGAGACCTTCCTCTGTGTTGGAGCTCTTACAGCAATGAACCCTGAAGTATCTCACACACTACCTTTTGAGTTACCAGGCCACGGGGAACTTCTGCTCTCCCTTGCTACTGCTCAACACAGCAGACAGAGCATTCACTCCTTCCAGTTTTACCCAAAATTATATTGTGGTTCTGGGACCACAGCAAAATGGATGTCTCTGAGGGAACATTTGGGGAAAGTTATGAACAGCAGCAAAATAAGTTAAGTAAAGCTCCCTTTCTGCCATGATGTTCGCCAGTGCTCAGAGAATATGTGCAGCAAGAGATACACCAGTAAAATCACATTTTGAAACCCTATGGATGAAGAGAGGAGATAGCCTGTAGAGGGAACTTTGCTTCCTAGGTGGAGGCTAGAGATGGCCCAAATGGCAACGCGCAGTGAGATACGGCCACTGAGCAGTGGCTAGCAGGTAAAACAGGTTAGTGTTTTAGAGTCTCTCTCAATGAAAGATGGATGAGAGTATGCAGAAAAATGCAGCTGCTGCAGCTTCTCAGCGCTTCAGGCTGAAATTCGTGAGCTGTGATGCTCACCTGCATGTCTCTGATTCATCCATCAAGCTGACAGCCAGCAACTGAGGTGGGTGGTTGGGGGAGGAGGGACCTTGGCAACCTGCTTGCGTGGATTTCAAGTTTAACAGTGGAGCTTTTCATTTCTAGATGGCTGAGAGACACCTTGTGGAATGTGGGTACATATTTTTCTTGCTTTAAGCTATGTAAATTCTAGAAAAGAGGATCAGCTTGTGAAGTACCCATTTACAGTGTGACTATAGACTGTGCTTTCGTGTCCCTGAGGCAGATGCAGCTGTACCTGGATGTGGATAGCACAGATAATACAACTCCTTGAATATTGGGAGGCTCATTGAGGCAGAACCCGGACATTTTTAATACAGCCACTTCTAGTGAGAGCCTGTGCCCAACACCCTGAGATCACACTGCCCAGAAACCACTAGGTTAGACTAAAACCTGCAATGTCTCCAGCAAAATCTATGTGTTGTTTTCATGCAGTTCTAGTAGACATCATAAGGAGTATCTCAGCAGTCTATTTGTAGCCCTGCTGACAGCCATCTCACAGTACATTTGTGGTTTGGGCATATTTGGTTCAGACTGCAAGGAGGTAGGTAAAAAACAGAGAAGAAATGTAGCTCTCAACATTTTATAGTCATAAATATGAGGCTGCTGAAGTCCCTGGTGGAGGTAATTACGGTGTCCTTCGAAGCGAAAAGATTGACCTAACAGGGCGGATGGATGTTGGCGGCTCCAAGAGGTTGGGTTAACGCGAGGCTGAGTTGAAGGACGGGAGGTTTGTTGTGGGGTGCTCTGTTCCCTCTGCACCTCCACACTCCGCAGCGGGCAGCCCTGCGCGGTTAGCCTCAGCGGGCCTCCCCGCACGCCCCAGCTTGTCCTCTCGTTCTAGCTGGCAGATACACTTTCATCACGGCTAATCGAGGTCTGGTCATGGATTTTGAAAGGTCTTCCAGGTGTGTGGCTTGTGTGAGGGCCAGATTTGCAGTGTTTGGGAAAGGATGTGGGCCCAGGGGCACGCTGACTGTCTGCAGGAGCAGGACAAGGGGGAAAATAGCGATTCCTGCCGGCCCTGCTGAGGGGTTTCCAGGTCTGAGCTTTAGCAGGAGGGGGAAGGAGAAGTGCCTGGGAGACCTGACCAGGAATGGCCTTTCAAGCCTAGGGGAGTGTGTGCAATCTTTCCTGGAGGCTGTTTTTAACAGCGGGTTCTGCCAAGTCCCCTCCACCACCATGTGTTTTGTGCTGCAGGTTCGGCTCACTGTGGTGGCTTTTGTCTTTCTCCGCAGGGGTAAAGCGCGGTCTCTCAGAAATGGAAGAAGGCAAAGTAAATCTGGAGAACAACTGCTCACCCTATTACCTCATTAGGCTAATCTACTCCTCTGAAAATTTTGACAAACTCGTGAACCTGAGCAAATACAACATCCTCAACAACAAAGACCTGCTCCTCCAGGCAATCCGGAGTGCTGTAGAACGGAAGAGAAGCGGCAGGACTGGGAATTTCCCCAGCCACTCTGGAGCTGGATACCCCTAGGCTGGGTTTTTGCACTCTTCCCCACTGAAGGCTACAACAGTCACACTGCAACACACCACAGTCACCTTATAACGTGTCGCAGTCACATTACAGCACATCCCAGTGTTCATTCTTTGCAGGAAACTGAGGAAACCTATACATTTCTCATCTTGCCTTGTTCAAGTTCCTAGCTTTCAAAAGGGTTTATTTAATCTCCATTCCCTACATTTTCAGACCACGAGAGGCTCACACTGTGGTCTTCCTTGTTAAGAAATTAAGGTCCTGGTTAGCAGAGACCTTCCAGGATCTCCCTGATGTTATAGAACATGGTGGTGGTAATAGTAATAGTTTTTGTGAGTGCCTGTCCCCTCGACCCTGAGCCCGTTGTCGGTGTCTTTCAATGCTTTGTTACAAACCAAGTCCTGGCCATTTGCATTCAGTAATGTCCAGATTTTCAGACAGGCTGAGCAACTAGAATTTGCACTGAATTGGTGGCCTCAGCTTTGAAGTCAGGCCAAAGAGTCATGTATATCTGTGAACAGCGGCCAAACTGCAACGTGGACAACTGCATTCTGTCTGGCCGATTCCCCTTGCTGATTTAGAAACTATTCCTTTTTTTCCATTCCCCTGCAAGAGTTTGGCACAGAAACGCTGCTCCAGACTGCCACGAGGGGGGCAGTTACATTTCGAGGAGAGAGGACATCAGCCGCAGAGCAGGAGTACGGTTCTTCTGAGTGTTGGCTGGAGGAAAAATTCTGCGTAAGGCATGAGTGGTTATATTGATTTATACGGGTAACGCCTGTATGCATTAACGTGTCAAGAGCCTGAAACAAGCTTTTGATACCAGAAACTCGAGGGGAATAATTACCATAGATTCAAGTACATTTAATTTAATAATCATGACCAAGACATAAGCTGGTGCTCCTTACATATGTAAACTGAATGTAGGAGAACATAACTCACTAACAGAGTGCATAGCCATTGTATTTTCACAGCCAGAAGATTTTTTCCCTTTACGGTCTTCTATCCCTAACATCATAGGCAAGGTATTTTTAATAGGTGCCGCACTAAAATAGAACACAGAAAAAAAAAAAAAAATTCTTTATCACACCTCCTTGCTGGAGGAAAATATTTGGAAAAATCACACCTGGTTTTCATTTGCTTTGGAGTCCAGTGAGAGACTTTGCCTTGAACTAGGAGCTTGGAACATCTTTATAGCCCTCCACCATATTAAAAAGATGGCAGAGAAGGATGCTGACCGATACAAAACAGAGCTCCACGCAAGTCAGAGAAGTTTCCAGACTTCCTAGCACTGAAGGATTTGGACTTGCTTCTGGCTTATTTAATCCAAACACAGCATATTAATCGGGACCTCCAAGGAAAAAATCTTATACCCTTCTTCTGTGTTGGAAATTTACTTGATAGCTAGAATTAGTTCTACCTGAAATCCAAAATTAGATAAAGAGAAACAGGGATCTGCCTTTCTGGTATCCACAGACAGTATCAAGCTCAGAGGGAGAGCATTTACAAAAGGCTTCAATGCCTGAAGCGTGCATCTACTAAATGCCTCTGCTGCCACAAGCAGTGGCAACGAATAAGCCTCAGCAATGCTTATTTACTGAGCCAAGGAACACCATGCAAAACCTGAGGCGTCTTAACAGCTGGAATGCAACTGTGCAAGTGAAGTCAGACCGTGAGCCGATGAGAACTAATCGGACACTGGCTGCAAGAAAAAAACAGCGAGCCATTTTGAGTTGAGGGGTGAGATGGCAGCAGGGGGCCAGCTCCGAAGAGAGCGTCCTACCGGCGGGAGCTGTTCCCCGCGCAGGAGAGCGGCACGTCCCGGCGCAGCGTGCCGTGGGGCAGGTGTAGGCACCCACGCAGGCACGGGGGGCGCGCTGCTTCCGCGCTTCTCCGGCTGGTCCGGTAAAGAGACCCCTTCTGACAGCCCGCTTGAACGGACCAAAAACCGATTCCATCACGGCTGCAGAGGGGCCCCGAGCTCCCACGTCCCGTGGCCCGGCGTGTCCTGATTCACCCGGGCTGCAGCGCTGGGCCCCACCAGCCGGCGTTGGGCCCCCTGCTCGCCTCGGCCGGGCAGCGGGCAGGAGGGACAAGGAGGGCGTGATGCCATCGTGCTGCCCGTCCCTGCGCCCTCCCTGCGTTGGGGCAGCTGAGGCATCAACTTATTGCTTGTGCCTGCCGGGAGGGGTGAAGGGCTGAGCTGGAGGAGAGGGCTGGGGGCTGAACAGCTCATGGGGGGTCCCAGGAATAGCGGCCGATAGCGCCTTTTCTGCTGCAGTGGTTAAAGGGCTCGGCTCAGTCAGGGACACTGGTGTTCTCCACAACAGACTGGGATTTCTTTTGACACTAAACCAATATCTAACTGAAGCTGGAAGACTTGGCCAGTCAGGGCAGACCCCACTGAGATACAGCAGATTTGTCAGGAGGAAGCCCACCAGTGATGCTGTGTAATTGCCGTTTGTTTATGTATCAGTCATCCCTATTGTAAATAGGAACGCTGTTTTACCTCATCTACCTAATTTTTGTGCTCTGCTGCAAAAACATATCCCTGTTTTGTTCATGGGCTGCAGTGAGTGATCCATAACCCTCGGCAGCACGTGCCCAGCAGCGAGGCGGCTCGGCCATGCTGAGAAAATTGGGTCTCCCTCTCTAAATGCCCCACAGGCCAATAACTGAGGCGTGTTTGGTGCATTCATAGTGCTGCTAATGCAAAACGGAAATGCCCACTAAAATGTGAAAGGGCCAAAAGACCCACAGGGTTTTCAGGTAACCCACAGTCCGCGGAAAAATAACTTTTCTGAGGAACTGTTAAACCCTGTTACGGGGGGAGGGAGGTAGCTGTGGGTTGGGAAGGTGGCGTGACGCTCCCTTTCCCAGGACAACTGTCACCCAAGGTTGTTAAAGTAGGGCCAGGGACTGCTGGTTAATCCCGCAGGCCAGAGGCACAGACAAGCACGTGCCCCTTGATGGCCTTGGGGCCCCATGTGCTACCCTGTAGCCTTAAATGAGAATAGATTTTTAAACCACATTTTTGTATTTCAGCATCTGAAATTCTGTGAGGGCTGCATCATTGCCCAGCAGAGTGGTGTGGGGTTTTTTTTTGTTTGTTTGTTTGTTTTTGAAGCATGACATCGAGGGGGTCTGTTGCTGGCCTGACGGTGTGTGTGGCCGGAGGACCTTGGAGGGGCTGCTGGAGGACCCTGCCGGGTGGAGGGACCCAGGCCTGGCACGGGCCTACCCACACACCTTGTTGGGACGTGGCGTCCAGCACGGGCTGTCCCCAAAGCGCAGCTGGGCTCTGGCGCAGCGCCTGCCACCCTGCACAGCCCGACAGCCTGGGGTGACCTGCGGCTGGGCAGCGACCCGCGCTCAGCCCTGCTCCTTGGTTCCTTTCGTCTGTAAGGGGACAGACTACCGAAACGCCCTGTGTCTGTTCCCCAAAGGGTGCACGTTTGTTTGTTCCCTGGCCCCAGCCCTCTCTTCATCACAAAAAAAAAAAAAAAAAAAAAAAAAAAAAAAAAAAAAATTGCAAGTGTGAAAAGGCACATGGCGTGCTTATAAACCGGGCCTTGCTGTTCTGGTGTGATGTTCGCTTGACCGCTGAAGATGAAGGCATGCGTGCTAAAACCTCAACTGAAATGCCCCCCAGATCGGTGCTTTCAGGTGAACGTTTTGCTGGAAAACCCCCACAAATACAGAGCTTGCTATCTGCTGCCAGACACGTAGGAAACAAATGTTTGCTCTCATAGCTGTTAGCTTCTCTTCATAGAAATTGCTTGCTTGTGTCTTTTGACCGTTTAATAATAGATACATTAAAAATAAAATATTGCAAAGGAGCACCAGACCCATGAAACTCTTTATGCGCTTAAACCCAAGACTACATTTTTTTCCCAGTTGTATTAGCACGATGTGTGCTAGATGCCTGCTGAGCACTTTGTAGGGCGTTTACTGGTTTCAAGACTGAGTGGAAAAATCAGAGAGAAGATGTTCTGGTTTACAAAGGCACTGAGAGCCTGGAAAAAAGTGGAACGAAATCTACCTCTTGGGGTAAAACCCTCTTCAGTGGAATGGCACAAGGCAGGGCAGGGGGGCAGCTGTAGTGAGCCACAGCCAGGGCACAGCTTTATTTTGCCTCTTGGTGATTTGATTTAAATGTGTACCTTTCACTGACTTGTGCTGTTAGCAATTAAATGGTGAGTTTAAAATACCTAAGTTTAAAAAGAAAGTTGGTGGTTGGTTGGTTGTTTTTTGGTTTTGTTTTTTTCTTTTTTTTTGTAAAGACAGTTAAAAATGATCAACAATAAAGGAAAATGCATCACTGTCCCATTACTTTAGTTGATTGTATTTTTTGTGGCGGACGGCAGCTGCAGTAGCCCCGTGCTGAATGCCTTTCTTCCAGGCTTGGACTTCTCCCTGCAAGAGCACTGGCAGTTGCACTTCTGCTCATGGGGAGGAGCCACATTTCTAAAACCACACTAATTACCAAGTTTCCCTCTCTTGAAGAGAAAGGAGGTTGTCTACAGCTGCTAAAAATTTCCAGGCATCGTACAGTGCTAATGCACCGTTCAGATCGGAGCTCTTAAAAGAAAAACTGACCTTGAGCAGCACTGGTGTCTAGACAAATTGGGTTTGTGGTGGCAAAAGGGAAGAGTAACCCGCATTTCAGGTGAGAAGCGCCACTTCCCCAAACGACCCAACCTGCCTGACCTACAGTGTATAAACAATCCTGCTCCGTTGTCCCCATCGGCATTTTCAGCTGGTTTGGGTGCTGGTCACCTGCCCCGGCACTGACCCTGCCAGGTGGGGCCCCCACCAGGGACACGCGTGGGCTGGGGCTGGGTGGAATTAGGGCGTCGGGGTGGGCAGCTGGGCTCACTGCTGTGCTGGCAGAGCTTCCCTTGGGAAGTAGGAAAGCTCGAGGCATTTAAAGGTAGTCTGGGGGAAAACTTGCTCTTTGTAAATATTTCATTAGATACCTAGGGTTTGGGGCTGGGCAGGGATGGGAAACAGGGAACAACCTGCTGGCTTCACATCTCCGTAAGTTTCTTCATTTTGTGTGTTTAGAGAGCTTGGAAACAAAAATAAATCTCCACCTCTTGCCTTTCACCCTCCCAGAACAACAGTTGCTAGGAATTGTCATTTTGTGGGAGCCCAGGACTGGAGCAGTCACATATATCTAGTCCTGATTCCCCTGCTGGAAATGTGTAATAAACATTTATTCTGTTGCACCACTATGATGCCTCACCTTTAGGGACACGAAGGTTTTCCTAAAGCCTTAGGACAATTTACTGTTCGGTACCAGAGGTGAGAGGAAGTAAGCAAGAGTCCTTCCCCTCAGAAATGCCACGTGGCTTCATATTATAGTCCTGCTGTGGGAGAGCTCAGATATCACCCTGTGTGACCAGGGCTCTTAATGCAAATACCAATCTATTCTATGCAGGCAGCAAGATACCCTGGGCAAGGATTTTAGCTTTCTGCTTCAAGCATTCACAACTAATTAATTGATATCAGTACTGCAAGTAGCACAAAACTGTAACTGTCGGTAATAAACTACCGAGCGGTGTGTACTGCAGTGTGGGAAATCCAGGGAGAACCTTAAAAGACCTATGGGCATACGGAAGCAGCAGTTTTAATAATGGTAATGACATTGTTAACAGAAAATATAATCCACACTCACGGGATATAAACCAGCTCCGGAAGGTAAAGGAGTTACTTGCAGGAGGGAGAAGGAGAGCATCAAGTATCCAAGCACAGATCACAATCAGATTAAGCCTGGCAAGCCAAACTGAGCTCAGTGCCTGAGCTAAACCACTACCTGACCTTGCTTCCGTCTGTTCCTACCCGACTCCCGGCAGCCAGCGCTGTTGGAAGATGTATGTTCAAAAGAAGTCGGGTAATTTTATCTCTGAGCACCCCATCCCCTTCTTGCTGGTGCACCCCACCACAGCTCACATGCGTCCCAGCTCCACTTTCAGCAGCTACTGTTGGAGTTTATTGGAGTTTTATTGCACAACGGCAGCCTACGCCGCGCGGGAAGCGATGGCTCGGCCACCCGAGCTGCCTCCCCAGAGCACGGCCCAGGGCCGGGACTTCGGGGTGCCAGTAAGGGCGCGGGACTTGGCTGGTGGGTGTCTGGGGAGGAGGAAACATGGTCTGTGCGGAGGCAGCTGGGCCCCTCACTTGGGCTCACACGAGGCTTCTGCTCTGGGAAGCCAGATGTGGCCAGCCGGGCGGTGAGCTCAGCAGGCCGCCACGCTCTGCCTGGTAGGAAAGACATCGAGGCACCCGCGCTGCGACGTAAAATGCTCTAAGGCATCACCCCTGGGGTGGCTGGTGAGCGCCAGCTTACCTGTGGGTGCGGATGCCTGGAAACCCAAACCCCACTCATTCTGCAATTAACATTTACAATACCGCAATAAATGCTTACATATGATAATGACAGGCTTCCACCACATGAGCTGTTTTTTTCAAGCCCTCCCCCTCCCATCCTTCTGGAAAATGGCAAGAGAGATGTCTACCTCTTTATTTGCCCAATATAGTGATAGATGCAAACCCTTTTTGTAAAATTGCAGAAGCTACCTTTGAAAATTGACTGTTTATACCTTAGCAAAAATAATTTTGCAAATGTGCCTTTTGCTTAGTAAAGCCATGTTTTCTAACCACCAAAATTACAGCCCACCCAGATCTGATGATCATTTCCATTTTTTTTTTTTTTTTTTCCTAAATGTTGGTAATGATTTACAGTGGAATAACATAAAGTGCATTGATACACTGGCAGGTGCAGAAAGACAGGCTTACACTCAACAACTTAATCCCACAGCATTTTGCATTTTTAATGTGTGACTCACTTTTGAAAGGTTGAATGTCTTCCCTGCAAGAATATGGCAAACCCTGAAAGTTCATTTTATTAGGAAATAGCTGCTCTCTTACTTGCCTTCTTCCCAGGAATGTCACTCAGGTGGCTGCCAAGGGATTTTTGTTGGATTATAGAGTGAGGTTACTGCTTACGTCCAGCTGCTGTGATCTAGCAGAGTGCCATTCAGAGCACTACAGACAAATCTGTTACGCTGAGGCTGCCCTAACTGCGCACGGCCGAGTCAATGGATCCTTTACATCAGCACCTCAAGGCAAAAATAAAGCACGAAAACATCATTAGGTGAGACAAAACATTAAGTGAAATTATCTTTCATCTGTGGAAACCGGGGATCAGGTTGCTGTTATTCTTAGTCTGATCTCATCTAAGACCACAGCAATGCCGTTTGGCGTGACTGACGAGCCCCGGGCGCGAGGTACAGACCTGACGGCACCTAATTCCGCTCGCTTGTCAGTATCAAGCACAAACAATTTAAAGGCTGAAGGCTTTCACAGGCCTGCAACTCCTGCCACCTGGATTGCCACAGTTCAATTTCTGAAAATAGGGACAACTTTTTTCTGCAAATTGCTTCCGTCATGATTAGATGATTGTTCCTCTCTCTCGGCATATACTATTGATTTGCCATCTAGTTTCCAATGCAACAAAGTGTTGTGAAGATAATGAGACCATTTCACCTAGAAAAATCTGTGTAGGTCACGTTCTTATTTCACAGTAAAAATCTTTTAAAAAACTTTTAAAATTTCACTTGTTTCTCCACCATTCTATCAGGCTCTATAATTTCTTTAACTGGGGTCAGTGGGGTAACCCGGTGCGGGGCCTCACCTTTATGCTCTGGTCCTCAGTCAGCCACTGAAAGGGAACTAGTCATACAGCATCATTGTTGGGATGGCAATTTTGGAACATGAGTGTCTCCTCACACAAGTACACACGTGTGCAGGCATGTGTGTGGGCATGCACACACCTGTCGATCAAGAAGCCTCTGGCTAGTCCCCTGTAGGAAAAGATTCCTTTCAACATACCTATCCACTTAATCCAGCAATTTCACAGCATTATATTGCCCAAGTCTTCACTCTAATTTGTTCCAATTCCTTATCTTGGCGTTGACTGCCAGAAGCTGTGCTGAGGTAGCCCAGAAGCTGACAGCCTGGCCAACGGGGAGATGAAAGGGGACCCTCACGGTACAAGCTAATGAAGTCTCAGACGGGTCTTCATTGCTCTGATTCCTCTTCATATGTCGAATAAGAAACCTGAATCAAAGCGCATTGGTGGCAGGAGACTGGCTCCTGTGTGGGACAGAGGCAGCAGACAGATGGCCAGACCTTTGGTCCTGGATTCTTTACTCCCTGTCTCGAGCCCAGATTTGTGATGTTGCAGGACTTGCTAAAGTTAATTCAGCTACTCTTTGCTCTTCAGCCACGCGGATATCAATGACATAAATGTTCAGAGTAACTGTGGGGCTGTTAGGGAGAGAAATGGAGGAGAAGTCCTAGTGATGGACAATATGGAAAGGCTAAAGTATTCCATATTTTTTTTCCTTCTTTTTCTTCGCAGTACTCATAGGTAAAGCCTAGTCCCAGGCCTCTCTGTGTACCGGCATAGGAAAGGAGTTGGGAGGTCCAACATCGGGGAGGCAACAGATCAGGGTCCACTTAGAGAAGCTAGATGTTGCACTAGCAGGCTGTGTGACTCCGAGACTGCTGCTCTACTACCTGTGAAGCATTATGGGGGCTGGAGGTCCCTCACGGTGAGATACAATCTAATGTGAAGGCGAGAGAGGACCCGGTAAACTATACACAAGGCCAAACAGCCTCACCACAGCCACTGGTGAGATCATGCAGAAAGTCCTCCTGGACTTCGTTCCCAGCACATGAAGGAACATTGAGCACGGATTTACTAAGGGGACATCAGGCTTGGACGATATGACTGCCCTTCGTGGTGAAATGACTGGGCACGTGGGCACGTGGAGAAAAGTAGATGTAAATTCAGCTTTAGTAAGGCTTGTCCCTCGTCTGTAAGAACATTTGCATTTGGAAGTTGTGGAAGTCTTGCTGGATAAACAGACTGTTAGATGGCTTGAAAACTGGCTGAGCTGCCTTGTACAATGGCAACAATTAATGGCTTGACTTCTAGATGTTGGCTGGTGAAAATGGAATATCCTGGGGTAAATACTGTGACTAATATTGTTCTACGATTTCATCAGAAAGCTGTACAGTGAGGTAGAGAACATCCTCACTACATTTGGGCACAATACTAAGGTATCAGGGCGTCGCTGACATGACAAATGGCAGCTCTTCAGTCCAGAAGGACTTTGAGAAAACTTGAGGATTGGACCAACAGGAATCTCACTAAGTTGAACAAGGAAAAGTGTAAAACTCGTC